GGCTTTTGCTGTTAACGAAACGCCAGAAGACGCTTCTGGTTCGGTTTTCATGTCGAAGTTACTGTCTTTCTCTCACAGTTTGCCTCAGGGTCCTCGAAGATCTGGTATTGTGTATTTTGCTTTTGATATAATTGTCTTGCTCGTTAGGCGTCTTACAATCATCGCATATTATTAACAACTCGCAATCACTTAACTCCGGGATGATCTTGTCAGCCTCACCGGTACTCAATTTTGAATCTTACTACTATTTTTATGTTGAGTGTCCTTTTTTATTCCATTGAGCTGCTCCTTACTTGGCCTTTTGCTCTGCCAACATCGCACGTACTTCATGCCCTACAATGTCGAGTGGCCTTTTTAGGAATTTCAGTTTTGCTAATTCCAATAATAAGTACAAACTTGTCTCTGCCACGTAGATGCACAGTGAGACGTCATTCCAAGGGGTGAATGCGAAATCGGGTATACTTGAAGAAGACAAAGGCATTAATTCATGTCGCACTCCCGGGTATCTGCTCTCCAGCTCCGCTAATCATAAGTATAGTGGAGGGTCCACTCTCATGGAGCATTCTGGTACTAGCAATTCAGGAAAAACTGCTTGTCAAGACGGTACGTTTTGTACTTTCATTGGCTACTTTCTTGCATTCAGTTCAGTCTACGTATATGCATCCTTTCCTAATTTTCGATTTCTCTTTTACAGAACCAAAGAATAGCTGTGAGAATACGCAGTATTCATTTGACTACGGTCAGATGGCATACCTTGTTCCTGGTGTCGGCTATCTGTACGTAAATGAGGTGGCAGAACCTGTGACTCTCGATAAGGCAGCTGGGCCCCAAGTCCCACCCATCCCTGCACCAAGGGCCTCCCTACTACCGACGTCGACAAGGGTTCCGCCACTAGACCTTTCCACCCTCACGCAGGCTGCTCCCTCCATCACTACTATCACCACAGCCCCTTCCCCTTCTGATCTTTCTTCTCCACATGCCACCAGTGGTTCAATGGTACCTAAGTTCTCATTGCTATCAGATGGGAGGGCGAAA